ATATGTATATATAATCAATTTCTTATTTAAGCTAAAATCAAACTCTATATATAATTAGCACTAGAATTAATATAATACATGTATTTTATTTTACATTATTTTATTAAGACCTCTTCTTTTAGAATTTTTTTTATAGAGAAACAAAACTATGAATTGTCTAAAACAAATCTAAAAAGCTCGAACAAATCAAATGAAAAAAGTAATAAATCAATCAGACTCCTATGTATCTGGAATGATCATAATACTATATATCATTATTCCACTTTGTGCAATTGTATGTAGGAAAAGAGGGGTTTCAAGAAGGTTTTTGGTCAATGATGCAAATCCGTATATTATGACTAATATGAGCAAATTGCAAAAAACATTCAACAATTATACCAAAGTATGTAAAAACACAATGTGCGCTAGGTGAATATAAATATTTTATGAGAATATATGTAGGAAATAAACTGATATGTATTATGACAAAACAATTCTCATAATACACCTCATGATCATAATCAATATTTTCACATATTTTTTTTATGATTTTGAACCAATTATAAAGTTTGATAAAATAAAAGATTGATATTATAAGACTTATATATATATATATATATATATATAAGGGCTTAATCAAATGAGAACTAATTAGTTTGTGGTAACCGTGAGGCAATCTCAATCACAAATCAATAGATAAATTAGGAAATTTATAATTTTGGTAATTTTTAATTAAAATTTTAATGTAATGACATTTTAGGTATTCTCTCTCCTCTCTCCTCTCTTCTCTCTCTGTCTCCCGGCCTTCGGTGATGCTACAGTGGTATCACAATGCATCTTATATGTGATTGGATATCATACTGAGGTCATTTGTGTGGTCGATCGGATATGTAACACAGTGGTATCACAATGCATCTTATATGTGATTGGGTATCACACTGAGGTCGTTTGTGTGGTCGATCGGATATGTAACACAGTGGTATCACAATGCATCTTATATGTTGCTTGAGTATCACATTGTGGTATCACCGGAGGATGGTGGCTGGAGGCCGGAAGACGGCGATAGAGAGAGAAGAGAGGAGAGAAAATAACTAAAATGTCCTTGCATTAAAATTTTAATTAAAAATTACCGAAATTATAAATTTTCTAATTTATCTATTGATTTGTGGTTGAGATAGAATCTCACGGTTACCACAAACAAGTCAGTTCTCCTTTGAATGATCCCCATTATATATAAAACAATCAATAATAATAAGATGGATTCATATATCAAAGTAATTATTGATTATTATTAATTTAATATATAAATGTGATCATCGACTTATTTAGCTAACTTAAATAATTTTAAAAAAATTATTGTTATCGCACAACGTGCAATATCAAACACTAGTTTTACAATAAAGGAAAAACAAAAATAAATGGCCCTTATACATAAAACAAAAACCACATAATCGATCAAGAAAATGAAGAATCAAGATCCTTAAGGGGTTTCCTTCTCTTTTCAATTGGTTCTTAGAACATCAGGATATAATGAGATCTTAAATCTGAGGAAATTCTCTATTTTGGTTGTTGCCCATAACGTGTTCGACAAAATGCCAGAGTGATTTATAAAACATTTGACAAAAAACATTTAAAAATATTTTTTTTATGCGTATTACTTAAAATTTAAGATTACAAGTAGAATGCGTGTGAGTACATCTTATTAAAGTTTTATGTTTAAATTCGTGTAACTAACTAACTAACTGCAGATACACATAATCAAGTACATGATAAATATCATTTTAAATATAAAATATAATTAAGATAATTATTGATTTTTAACAGAATACTTAATTATTATCTTAAAAAAATTATTTTATTAAACCAAAAATAATTAGTTCGTTATTAAACTTCAATCAATTATATCACAAAAACAAAAACTTTTAAATAGTTAATTGATATTAATATCGATTATTTTTCTAAGTTTTTTATAATATCTTCAGATTTATATTTTATTCAAAAATAAAAACATTTTCGTTTTCTCAAAACCACATAAAATCGCATTATAACATCGATATAACCAAAATATAAAATAAAACAATAAGATCAAGATGTATTTCGTTGTATTATACAAATATCATTTTAATACAGTTTTAATTGATTTTGCTTCCACCTAAAGAAAAGAAAAAAAAAAACAAGAAGAAACACTTCAAATTTGGTTTTTAATCGTCACCGGTTTAAATATTTGATTTTTTGAGTAAATTATAAATTTAATCCCTATATTTTGTGGAATATAATAATTTTTATTTTTACAGTTTCGAAATTATAAAATAATCATCATGATTTATAAAAACTTCTTGATTTGATCCCTTTTTCTAACGGTCATTAAAAATTTCAATAAATGAGAAACAACTTTTATCATTTTATCAATTTTTTTTATTGTTTACCAAATCAAAATCAACTTTACTAATAAGAGTCAACACTATGATTTATTTTGATGTGTAAGATTTTAGCATATATCCAAACCTATGGAATGTAACAATTTACTGGGTAAACTTTTACCTGGGTAAGAGTCGTCATCCTCACTTACCGGGTAAGACTCTCCATCCTTCTTATCACTCTTACCCTGTAATATTCTTGGCTCTTCTCATGTTCATCCGATGAGAAAATTTATCCGGTAAGCACTTACCAAGTAAATGTTTAGTAAACGGACCCTTAGTCTTTGTGGTTTTTGATTGGATAAAAAATTGATAAAATGAAGAAAAAAAATGTCTTTAATTTAACAAAATTATTTAATGGCTGTTAAAAGTAGAAGTCAAATCCGGACGTCTTTGTAAACCAACATGACCTTTTTGTAAACTTGAAATTATAAGGATGAAAAGTGTTATTTTTAGTAAAATTGTTAGAGTAACTTTGCTTGGAATCCACTGAAAGTCGTTTATCACTTTCAGATTGAAGTATTACAACGTTACAATCGAAATCTCAATCGGATAAAATTCAGTGGTTTTTCGAACTTGAGAATGCAGAAAATCGTTATGAATCTATGTGTACCTCTCTAGACGAAAAATGACCAATTCAAAACCATACGAAAACTGTCAAAACGACAGTTTTTGAAGCCAATCAATCCGAAAACTGTCAAAACGACACCCCAGCCAGGGGCTCTGCCCCTTGGACCCCGCCACCGGGGGCGTTGCCCCCGGACACCCGTCGTTTAGCCCCTAAATCAAAATAAATTCAAACAAGTGTGTCATCTACACCTTCCTTACTTGTTCGATATTTATCATGATTACATTGGTTAACAAATTAATCTCATTACACTTAAATAATATTAATGATACAAATCACTAACAAAAATACAGGACCAAAATTGTAGTTTACTCTTGAATTTTTAACTTGAGAACTAGAGATGATTGGTCGAATTGTGTGTGATGGTTGGTTATAAAAAAAGATAAGAAAAGAAAGCAACGAGAATAAAAGGAGTTGTTCGACTTTTTGCATAATTTTGTAAAAGCAAAAGTGGTGATCAATAATGGTGGAAAATTGAATTCTCCGCAACACCGGCAAAACCACTTTCCTTCTCCATATCAGTTTCATCCACTATCCCCGAATAAGCAGAAGCTATATACCCCCAAATATCCTGTAAACCAGAAGGGTTCGGGTTCAGTGTGTCCATTTCTTTGTTCTTGTTGCACAGTTACATACCCAAAACATCTGTTATACCCTAATTTAATCACACCCATTTGATAGATAGTTTTGCCGGGAAGCGTTTTCAAGGATTTTTGTGGCGGGAAAGGTCCAGAGTTGGCGGGAATCGGGTTGAGTGAGCGCATGTGTAACCGTTAGGATTTCTTTCTTATGGCGAATCCATCTGGAAACGGGACGAATAATAACGATGCGGCTCACCCGAGTCACCACGGCAGCAATTCGGTGCCGGAGCCTGCGTTGCAGCATAATCCTGGTGCCTCAACTGATTGGACTCCAGATGAACAGTCAATTTTGGAAGATGGCCTCGCCCAGTAAGTTTTTTTTTTTTTTTTTAAATTTGTCTACGTTTTGTTAAATTGTTTAACCGGGTTTGATTTTATGAGCATTTAGGGTTTGATTTTTTGTTGTCAAGTAAAATCTATGTATAAATAAAGTCATGATGTGGGCTCACTGGAAGGAATTATACATTAAGAACCCTATTGATAGAAAACACAAACCTAACAGAAATAAAAGAAATTAACCCTCGTCAGGTTGGAACATACGTATATCTATCTATTGGCGTAGCCAGAAAATCCATTAAGAGGGGTCGAAATTTGTGAACTGATTATAATTTTGTTGGAATCTTAATGATAGTAGTTTCTTGGTTCACTTTAACAGTGGCGGATCCATAAACTTTTATAATCGGGGGCACACTTAGGGGTGTCAAAAAAAATTTAAACCAAACCAAGACGGTTTCGGGTTATTCGGTTCTTGGCTTAAGCGGTTCAGTTAATCGAATAAATATAACTTATTTGGTTCAGTTTCTGATAAGTTTTGTACTATTTCGGTTAAACCTGAGACATTATAAAATGCAAAAGAAAGGTTGGATAAAAAAAACCAAAAAATAGTGGTTGATCAAATTCAATAGCAAACAAAATAAGAGAACCAAGATAACTTTCAATGGGTTGGGATTTGAGAGTTGGGGGAATCAGAGTTCAATTGATGTGTGAATTGATGAATCTTGAGGTGCGGGTGGTAAATGAGACTATGAGATGGCAGGAATTAGGGTTGGGGCCTTTTAATTGTTGGGGGCATAATAGTAATTTTAGGTAAAATAAAATTATGTAAACATGCATGTCATGCATTTGTTGGGGGCCTTTGCCCCCTATCCCTTGTATCCGCCACTCTATTGCAACAATTTGGGTGAAATGCTTGTTCCTATTCCTTCATAATTCCTTCGTCTAATGAATTTGTAACAGTATACTCTGCAAGTAGTTTTCTAGAAGTTTTGACTATCAGTAAAGTATCTAAAAATTCCCTTAATTAATAACAATGTAACCAAAGAGCATTTGGCCTAGCATTATCTGGTAACCCAACCCTTTTAGAGGTCAGTGTTCCAACCTCACCACAGGTGAGACGTATGTGAGTTTCATTTGCGGTATATAATTATTAGTCGAAAGATCGTGTGAGGATAGGAGTTAAGTGAGAAGCGTAAGAAGGGATATGAACCCTTGATTACTTTTGATCTCACCCCACCCCATGAATTGCGCTTCTCACGGGAATTGATCCGGTGCATCTCATTAGGGTTGATCTTCATTTAGGATTGATCCAAGGGTGGAGATCCCCTTTTACCCTTCTCACCATAACTTCCATTCTCACCGAAATCCAATCCATAATTATTATATACTTTCCAAGAAAGAAATTAATGACAATGTATGAAAGTCTTTCAAATCATTACCTTCAACAATTTGCAATGGTGAGGATAGGCTGTTAGATTTAGTCTTACCATTTGCCTTAGAGAGACGCAACACAACTAATATTGGACATCCCAGAATAGAAATTTCTGATATATGTTCATGAGACGGAGGAAGTACATTTCAACTAATGCCATACTTGCCTTTTTGTTTGCTTATCATTGTTGAGAATTATAATTGCACTTCCTGTTTAATTTTGTCCAAAAACATATGGTCGTTAACATATTTGGAAAGGTTTAAAGTACAGAATGTGATCATCTTTAAATAAAGAAAAAAAACATTACCGTTCTTGATAAACGCCATATCCCAAAAGGGAAATTTTGACTTCTCATATTACACTCTTTCTGGCTTCATTATACTTTTCAACATGAATTTATCAAACACCAAGTGCTTTTATAAACTTGCTCAAAGACATGTGCAATTAACAGCAAAGTATCTCAAACAGGTCCCTAGTAAATTCTTTTGATTATTAAATTAGTTCAAAAAGATAATATGTGCCCTGGAGTTGGATAGTACATTTTCAAGAGTCCACGCTGTAAAAGTAAGGTTTGAAAATACAAAACAAATAAATGGCTCTTTCAAAATTTTAGTTTGTAACATTGTGTAGTTCGGTATGTAACTAATACTTAGTGTTTGTTCATGTCCAAACCAAATTCGGTATTAAGATCGTGACTCCACACTAAAATATCAAGTAAAAAATACCGACGCCTTTGTAAATTCCTGCCAAACCTTATACCAATTTTATTATGTCACCCAATTGAATAATGAGATCTAACATGTGTATGTGTCAGATAAAGAAACCTAAAATTCAGATCCATAAGTCTCGCCTTTTTGTTTCAAGTTCCCACTTTTATCTAAACCTTTGCTCATCAACCTCATACTTGTTTGGTGTTGTTGACTATTGTTCTCGGGAACCAAATCTCAGGTATGCAACTGAATCAAACATCGTCCGCTATGCAAAGATTGCCGTGCAATTGCAAAACAAGACTGTCCGGGATGTGGCTTTGCGGTGCAGATGGATGTTTGTAAGTTTAGTAGTAACTTCATATTCCTTATTTGTGCACCCATTTTCTAATTTTCCGTTCTTTTTATTTTTTTATCATTTATACCATAACTTTCACTAGACTTGGTTGTAAACACATGCATCAACTCTATATTTATTGACACAATGTTTCAAGTAGGCGATCAATGAGATTGTACACTTTTAATTCCATCCTTTCTACTTACCTATTATCAGGAAAACCATAGTTCTGTGTTTTCACTCTTTATCTTTATATAAGTTTGTTTTGGTTAAATATGTTCCCTTTGTGGAGTGTACATTTTCCCCTTCTGTCTCGATTAGGTATTGATGAGAAATGATTGCTTAATAAATTATGTGAATGGAAGTTCTAGATGACAAAAAATATTAATTTATGAATGCAACATAAATGAGATAAATTCATTAGTAACTAACTATAACCGTTATATACCAGAGTACATAGATTATCATAACAAAAGTTGAAGAATCCAAATGGTACTCATTTACCGAAGTAAAATACTCATATGTATACCAAAATACATGGATTATTCGTAACAAAAACTAAAGTTGTAATTGCTTGCAAATCTCACATGATAATATACATTCAATGACATTAGATTGTAAATACCGGTACCGTACTTCAAGTAGGTGATGACATTGCGCATAACGTCATTGCTAACATAAATTATCATTAAAGATAAAATCATCAATATAAATTTAAATGTCACAAAAAATCATCATAATAATATTCAAAGGGTAGATTGTTAAATAACATGACTGACTACAAAATTGAATTGTACACATCATTTTGCACACTATAAAGTAATACGAAGTTCAATATAATACATAGTTTAATATCATGGCTGAATGGGGGAAGCCTGAACTTGATGAACTGAAGGCTGAAGCTGCCAAGCTGGGAAGGGAAATCGACAGGCATAGAGCAGGTTGGCTTTTGGTAATGTCTGGTTATCGGGTTGGGTAGGGTTCAGTGGGTTCAGCCGGGCCTGGCCCAATTCCAATTTGTATATGCTAGGAATTGAGTAGGCTTTCAGGCTAGGTTATTTTTTCCTATTTTTTGGTAGGGTTGGGTAGGTCAACGGGTTTATTGTGTTTTTCTGCGGACCTAATAAGAAGCTTGTACTTAGAGAAAAAAATGTTCTGCTTGAGCTTTCAAAAGTAAAGTACATTCCCGTTTGTTGTAATCACATATTCACATATCAAAACAATCTTTGATATCATATACACTAGGGGTGTAAATGATGCGAGTCAAGCTTGAGTGTCAATATACTCGACTCGAACTCGATAGCCATTTCTCAAGCTCGAACTCGACTCAAAAACTCGCGAGTAGTTAAAAACTAAACTCGACTCGAACTCGATTGCAATTTTTTAAACTCGAACTCGAATCATACTCACCTGTCGAGATTTATGAAATTTTAGGGTATTCTCTTATAAACTATAAAACTTAAAGGTGTTCTCTTAAATTATTAAGAACTAAAGGGATGCACCTCAAACTTCATCATCAAAAAGACAAAGTTACAAACTTCATTCACCTTCCTCTCTTTTTATAACACCTCTTCATCCTTCTTTTACTATCTTTCTTCCAATGTGAGACAACTTCACTTCTTTTTTTTATGATTTTAGTAGAAAAAAATATTGATTAGTTTTTATAGTTAAAAATGCACAATATTGTTCAAATATTTAAAAATATAAGACATTTTTATTACATTATATTATACATATTATATTATAAAACTGATTATATTTTTTTAAAACTAATTATATATAGAAAAAAACTCAAGTATCTCACGAGGTTTTTTAGTGATTATTGGGTAGCTCGACTCAACTCGTTACATTAATATGTCGAGTCGAGTTCGAGTTTGAGTCGAGCCTATTCGAGTTGAGTGTTGACCGAGTTTTGACCAAGTCGATCTTGAGTAGCTCGCGAGTTGTCTCGTATCATTTACACCCCTAATATACACACATTAAGTGAGCGATGACAAATGGAGGCAACATATAGTTTCTGTTATCGAGCTGGAAATGCATACGATGATAGTATAGACAGTTGGATTAATTGGCTATAGAGCAGAGAACCCCAAGTATATAGTGTACTAAACAGGCTCATGATCTTTTACGCATGAGTTTACAAATTAGGTTACATACTAATTATATTTAACCATCTTCCTTCAGTTGGAGTAATCATATTGATCTTGCCTAACATACTACTTACAAAGTAATACGAGCATTCCTTAATGAGCTTAGTTAGGACATCAAGCTGATAATCAATATGAATGGATTTTTTTTTTTCCAGATTTTATATGGCTATTACATGATTACATACAAATGGTAGTCAACCATCATGAGCCATCTGATAAAGTACTTGGTTCATGGTTATATGCATGGTTACTTGATTGTTACAAAGTAATGCATGAGATCGATGTCTAAGGATTCCGTGCTTCTTTACTAGACATCTAGTCCATGTTATTACTTATGGGATGTTTGTCATGGCATAATACTTTAGACTATTATGCTGGAATGAGAAACTACTGCATATTTCTTGCTTTATCTCTTGACATTTTGACATCATATAAGAACACTGTAAGCTGTGGTAGGCCTTGTGATGTGTTCTCGAAAACTTTATTACGAAGGAATGGAAAGGAGAGGGAAGGAAAGGGGAGGAAAGTAAAAAAAAACCTCGTGTTCTCCAAACGTTTTTAAGGAGAGAAAGGAAAGGAAACTGAGGGAAAATAATGATAAGTTCCCTTCCAAAACTTTCCTCCCAAATGTAGGAGGAAAGAAATTAAAACCCCTTAAAAATATTATTAAAATTACAAAACTACCCACTTTTTCATTTTAATGGGTATATTTGTAAATATGACATCTTCCCTTTCTGTTCTCTCTCGTTCAAAAACATGAAAATTTATTTTCTTTCTTTTCCTAACCTCTTGAGAACACAAATAAATGAATTCCTTTTGTTTCTTTTCCTTCCATTTCTATTCTCCCCAAATTTGAGAACACAGCGTTGGTGACATTGATCATTTTGCCAAGTGAACATATGATAATTACGTTTATCATTCCAGGTCCCTCCTCTATGAAGGCTCTTACTTTGAAGTGTCCCCACTGTGTATATAAGATGTCTTTCGCAAGAGTACCCATGAGATACCGTGGTATTCTAAGGACAAAGTCATGAGGTATAAACATGCTAATTATTTCACCGAGCATCATGCCTGAGTAACTGTCAAATATTCAAGTCCCTTACCATCCTTCCCCTATTGTGAAGGATCAAGAGGCTTGCGATCTTCAATTAATAACTTGTTATTTTGAACTATAGGAGAATCATGAGGATGGCACCCAATACCTCATAAAATAACAAAAAACATAATTGCTGAAAAAATATAGACCCTGGGGTTACAAGATCTCATCCCCTAGAAAAATCCAAGACTAGGAAGATATTTTGTCGAATGAGGGAGTTTTTCAGGTCAATTATGATCTTATCATTGTGTAATCACTACCATCTACAATTTCAACAACTATCTTATGGCCATGATATGCTTGTAGAACGATAAAGTAATCATCGTCATCATGGATCATATCAAACCAATTGAGTCTGTCACCAAATGAATCCCCAAGCAGCTGCTTGAAACCGTATACGATCAGATTTGACAAACTTCTGAAGGGTTCATAGAAGAATGAGATCTGGTGGTTGATCATAAACCTACTCGGTGAAGAATGTTGCTTAGAAAGACTGTTAATTTCAATCATGACATGTCAGTAGGTAGCAGCTATATGATTGTCATGAAGCACCAGTGAATTGTAGCAAGGTAATACATGCAGACGAAGGCCTTTTCTGGCCATAGGTGAGAAGTTTTCTCATAATCATCTCATATGCCTGTGAATAGACCCAAGCCAAAAGATGGGTTATTTGCAAGTCCTAACAGCAACCAACAAAGCATTCTTCCAACTCCCGAGTTTTAATCTTCTTAAATGCATCAATATCTTTCTCCTTGGCTTTGTATCAACAGAGAAGGTGTAGTGCCTTTGACACATTTTGTGAGAATAAAATATTTACTGCAGTGGTAAAGGCACAAAACTTGGGAAAGATGGCATTATAGGCATAAATTTTAGATAAGATGATAGGTAATAGAAGGTACACCAGTAGGAACTGATACCATTATAATATTAGGGTTTTGCATGATTACTTTAGTAAATGGTGAACCTGGAGTATATAGCACCTTTAGATGGGTGTGGACCCTTACACATTAAGTTGCATACAGAACTAATACATGTGATGTGACACCACGCATGCTCAGGTCTGTAAATCTTGTATGCTCTTTCTTGTGGTTGGTACAAGCTCATGAACATAGCTGTTTCAGTTAGCAGGGGTAATTTGTAAGATTGTGCTTCATTTGAACAAGCTTTGGTGTGATAATTTCATTTTATTAGGAATGCTGCTGAACTTTTCTAGACAAGTTCGTCGAAAGGTTTGGCATTATTTACTAAAATGGAGAAATACCTGTGAAGCCCTCGTATTTTAAACTCTATTTTCTCATGAAAAACTCATTTTGGTGCCTATCTCTGTTGTAATAAGGATTCATCAAATGTTACTGTTCCACTTTGTTCTATGATTTGATTTATTCGTCTTACCAGAAAAGGGATATCAACAAAAGAAGGAAAGAAGATTACATCTTGACAAGGAAAAGTAAAGACAGGAAGGTAAACCTGTTATTTTATAATTCTTCCTGAGATATTTTGTTTTCTGCTTATACAGATCCATTGTTATTTTTGTTATATTTAAGAAACGCACCAATCAGCAACTTTGTCTGTCAATAACCCAAAAATAGGAAATTGTGATTTGATGATAATGAGAATCCGAAAGGACTGGATGCACCACAAAAGGCGAGTCGGATAGAAAGGAATATTCATCTTGATTTTTTAATTCCACAGGGAGTTGGTTGGTCTTTGTTGTTGTCATTGTACTATAAACTAATAGCGGCCCAATTTTTCATATTAGTAGTTCAATATGCCTGTAATTCTGGGAGGCTGAGGGAAATTAAAAATGCATTCTTTTTCTCATTTTCAGGAAAAAATGAATGATCATTTGGCAAGTACATCTCATTTAGCAACTCAAACTAAATTTTCTTCATATGTTCAAGGAGCGGTTGCAAATGGAAAATCAAATGCACTGTACAATGGTTAGTTCTTTCTTCCATTTACTTTTGTACTTCAGGGTCATATGAAAATACCCAACTACTTTGATATCAATGCAGCATAACAAGTATGATTTTGGTTCAATTACATAATTCTATCTGCTTCAGACCTTCATTTTTGCTAGAAGATGTTAACCTTATCTTTCTTCAGTCTACAGTTCACACAATTTTTCATCATTAGCAATGAGTTTTTGAAGCTCTTTCATTTCTTTTTGAAAACAATATTCTTAGAAGAAAAAAGTGGATAAAGTTTGATTATTGTGTATAACCTTATGATTGAATACAACGAAAAAGGGAAAGAGAATGAAAGATTGATCTCCTATTGTAAGATCATCCGAAAAGACCAGCTAAGCATGATTGGCTTGGTCAGCCTTTACCTTCGAGATGGTTAACCACTTATTTAACTGTGAGAGGGGGGTCATTCAGAACCCGCTGTCTCCAGAGCGAGGGGAATCCTTTCCGTGCCTCTGAGGAAAGATTCTCGCTACTCAAGAAATTTAGTAAGTGATTCTTGAAATGCGTACTTTATTCATATAGAGTACATGAGAGATTAAGACAACCATATACAAGGGATAAAGATAAACTTTGACCATCTGAAGGATGAAGATAAACATAAAACAACTGTTACATGTATCTAAAACAACTCAAGTTTTGAGCATATTTATCAAATATGCCCCAACTTGCTACTATCTCTTGGTCTTATATACGGCCAATATGTGATTCACTTTGAGAAAATGTTCCAGTATCTGTATTTTGATGTTTCGAACACACTTGGACTAGTTCTGGTAGAGGGTGGTTCAGGGGAAGTACCAACAACCTTTATCGAACAAAATGACAAAGCTATGTCAATGTGTAGTGTGTTCACTAAAAATGGTTATCTGGAAATGTGATCCATCATCACAAACATTTCCATCAGGGTTAGGCTTGTGTAGATGGTGTTTAGGGTTCTGAAGTACACCAGAGCCATACATCGCAATGCTTGTAAGTTTATACATGCTAACAACATAATAGTTATTATATAGAGTACACTAGAGATAAGATAACGCTATGTAAAAGTAAATAATAAGCATAGGCCATTTAAAGGATGATGATTAGTATACAAAATATGTCTAATGACGAATTATAAGTATTAGGTATGGCCAATGCATCAACTTCCCTTATGAAAATTTTGCTTTTATCGTGGAGGTTGCAGTTGTAGAAGAGTGAAAACAGTTGCTAGACTTGCAGTTTGATGGATTACATAATAAACTTGTGTGTACTCATTTGACATACATCTTATTTTTTCTATTTCCAGTTGGTTTGTGAATTATTAACTAGCTTGTTATATGTTATTTATTGTCGACAATGCCAAAACAGTTACTCATCTTCAATTGTATCATTTTTTGTATTTATATCCATATCCTTTCAACTGACACCATGCAATTCAGATTAATACTCAGGGCCTGTTTGTTAGCAGCTTAATGAGCTTAATGGGACTCGCAGCTTATTTGATCAGCTATACATGACTGTTTGCTAGTGGCTTATAAAGAAACCGGCTTATTCAGTAAGGTTCTAGTGGGATCTTTATGCAGAAAGCCAAGAAAAATTCAAACCTACCCACTTCATATTAAAAAACACGCTCCTTCCATCTATGAAAAAACCCTCCCAATCTATACAAGTAGGTTAATGCACACAGACAGCTTTATCCATACATGACTTAATGGAAAACCAACCAAACAGCCGCTTTGAGTTGAGAGAGTTCGGACAGTAATGTTGCTGTATGCCTGATAGAATTTTTTTTTTTTAGGTTCAGTGACACCTTACACAGGTCACCATTCACTGGCTTGCTTGCTAGTTCAACACTATTCCTAGGACAAATAAGATGTAAGATGAATGGAGGTCCCAATCTACAATGATAAAGAAGAGGTTTAAAACTCTACTAAGAACGCAGCCAGCTATTATGACAAATAAAAATAGGTATTATGAGTCTATGACAAAAAAATCTTAATCTGCGAAAATAAAGAGGCATTCATAAATTTGTACTAAGAATGGGGGTCCAATCAGATCACATTATTGGATCAATACATAAAAATCTGAAGGCTTTTCTCTTGTTTAGTCTTTGATAGATCTTGAGAAGACACAATGATAGGGTGCTTATGCTAGTTGGGTAGTGCTTAAAAAGATATCCCCAAACACATGTAGCGTTCACTGGATGGACATAGGTGGGATACTTCGATTCTAATACTATCATATGTATATGTGTTTTAGAGGAGAATGAGTTGATCTACACCTAGCATTCTACGACTGCTGATGCTAAAATGGAGATCCATCATCATTTCTATGGGTCTGCAAAACACATACATGATAATTTTTGGTGAAGGAAAACAGGGTCACGTTGGACCTCAATATGAAAATAAAAATATGAACCATTAGATATTGGGTCTGTTTGATAAGTCTTGCTTTTTTTTTCCAACACTAGCCTTACGTCAGCTGTTTATATTCTAATGCATAGTTACATATCCACATTGCTTTTTATCATCAACTTCTATTGATCGACTGCAGTTATACTGCCTGCAGTTCTTGCCAGTCCAGCTGGACAGCTTCTTGAGGAAAACGCACTGGCTTTCGAGCGGGTTTCTGCAAATCTTGAAATTGAACAGGTGATGTATCCATACGTGTTATGATTCCCAAGATGATTCTGTTCTAGCAGTTGTTAAAGTAGTATGATGGACCATTTAGTTTTGCTATTTTAATAGCAACTGCTATGTCAAAAGAGTCCACTACCTGACAGAAGTTGGCATCATTTGTTTGCTGATGAAATATTAAAAATAAAATTAGCTGGTAGAAGCAAAACTAGAGAAAATTGAGGGTACCAATTACCATAGAAATTGCCGAATTCTAGTACCATCAGAAGTGAAGGGATTGTATCATATTTCTATAAGCTTATTGCATGAAGCGTAAACAAGTTGTAATACTGATCTTAAGTTCTGTAACCTTATTCTTCTCATCATTCATCCATTTCCTTTGCTGGTAACAGCTACGGTTTTTGCATTATCTGAAAGGGTTATGCAATGAGTAATGTTTTTTGTCACCCATTTGTTCCCTCGTCTCATATAAAGCTTCTATGTGTTTTAAGGATGTTTCTTTAATTTTGTTGGCTGATATGAGTCCTATGTTCCATTGCAGCTAAAGCAAACATTTTTTCCTTTATTCTTGTTGGCTGATTTGAAGGTTTTCCATACCTCCAATATGGTGTATAAATCCCATTAATCGGTCTATATGGGATGCAATCAAGCTATTTTGATCATCCGAATCTCATATTTATTATTGTCTAAAGCAAGTTTTTCATTGCAACGCATGATTTTTCTTGCTTATTTTTATCAGTTGATGTTTGGTGTTGAGGCAGCGACAACATTAAAAAAGAACTACAATTATCAGTCCAGGTAGCGTTTAGTACGCAAACATGATTGGAGTGGATAGAATTGAACAGGACAAGAAGGTAGGATGGGACAGGACAAGTTGATTGTCTGGTGTTTGGTATGACTAGGACCAGATAGGACTGGACTAGACAATTTGAGAACTATAAATAAAGTTATTAAGACGAATGATCCCACATTTGAGAACATTGTGAATGACTCGGAAATATGATGGTGATATAGTTTCTTCATATGCATATGGCTATGTGTCTTTATGGTGCCTTCTATATTTACTCTCTACTTCTGGCACTTGCAACAGGCACATGAGAATATCAGTCTCCTTTGCCAAGTTCGGAAAAATATCCTCGATATTATGAACAAGTAATTTCTCATTTACCCTTGAAAATTGTTTTTTGGATGCATATTCTTCCCTTCAATTGTTTTGAGAAGTGGACTAGTGTAGATGTTTATCAGGAATTCGATAGCACATAACTCTGTGTAGGCTTGGTTATTTGACATTTATACCAGTTGGAAGAAACCATGTCGCTTCTCTGTGGCCGAAAGGTCGTTTGTTTGAGGGTTATTTAGCAGAACCTTCAAATAGATTTTCTTTTTAAATGCATGGTTTTCTAACAGATTTTGGGACATTCTTTTGTCAGGCGAAGATGTTCTGAATCTGTCGGATCGTTATGCATTTACTAAAAAGAGTAAATTACATTTTTTGACCCGGTGGTTTGTTGAAAGTTACTATTTTAGTCCTATGCTTTTGAAATTACAATTTTCATCCCTATGGCTTACAAATCATTGTTGTTTTCATCCCTATTGTTTACGATTCGTTGTTGTTTTCGTTCTTATGATTTACAATTTGTTGTTGTTTTCGTCCTTATGATTTAGAATTGGTTGTTGTTTTCGTCCTTATGACTTATAATTTGTTGTTGTTTTCATCCCTCATACTTGAAGGTAGGAGTTAGTATGAGAACATAATGCATTTTTAAAACAAAAATCTGTCAAAAGGTTGCAAAGTCAAGGAGCCTTGGTGCATCGTAATGGAAACCAATTTGAAAGAGATCCAAAAGTAACCATTGATTATCTATCGACTGCAGTTTATGTGAAACACCGGAGAAACTGAAGCAGATGCCACCGCTTCCGGTGAAGCTGAACGACGATCTTTACAATTCGTTGCTTCCTCGCTCAACATTTCATCAGCTGCAATAATGATTCCTGCTGCCGACATTCGTGTAAGACACCAACAACATGATGATTGTCATGGAAATAATTCATGGGTTTGTCGGTTTAGTTCTTTGTTTTGAGCAATCTTTGCAGTAAATAGAGAAATAAGTAGCAGCAGCAGCAGCAGCAGCAGCATTGAGTTTGGGAGTTTTGAATTAGGGTTTGATAGTCTGAAACATGAAAACTAATGAATGCTTTTACCAAATTTGTAGAATTCTTTTCACTCACTTTCTTTGGTTTGCAGAAATCTTTGAAGATGCTGTTGGAGTAAAATAAGAGTACTTAAATCTAGTCATGAAAACTAACGGGGTGGGGATTCCCTGCTTTTGCTTTCATACCCGCTACCCTGACCTTGATTAATTTAATTTATTTTATTTAGTATATGCATATAAATATGTATATGGTTGTGTTCCGGTGAAAAAGAGAGTTAAAGTAAGAAGCGTAAGAAGGGATCTTCACCCTTAGGTGTACATCAAGATGGGATGCACCAGATCAATGGTTATGGTTGAGTTTGAGATTAAAGGTGATAAAGGGTCCACATCCCTATCCCTTCTCATGCTTATCACTTTTCTCACCTTACCTTTCCTTCTCACACGATCCTTTGTCAATATGTATATATATATATATACATTTATTATTATATTTGATTTTCAATATTGATAATTCATTATAATTATAATGTTAAAATGCATTGTTTTTATTTTATTTTACTAAACGGGTATCCAACAGGTTTTCCTAACCTGTTAGGGATTCCTCCCTCTAAACCGGTAGGAGATTAGTCGGAGCAGGGTTGGGGATGAGGGGTTTAGACGGGGGTTGGGGATGGGGGGCACGTTACCTGCCCAATGCCCAAAACAATAAAATTCACATGTAATCGTTTTTATGTCTTTCCCATGTCTATGTTATTGCAAGACACATAATTTACTTGTTAATACATGTACACCTTATTGTTTTTTTAACTTAAATAGAGAACAATTAGATGAGGTGTTATATATATATATATATATATACTAGAAGCGTACTCGCGCAATGCAGCGAGATACATCATGATTTTAATATTTCATTTTATTCTTTATCTCAGTCGATGTTATAATATGGTTTTATGTGATTTTGAGAAAACGATGATGTTTTTATTTTTGAATAAAA